AGGTACTATGTTTTAAGGTATTCAAATCTTGTAACTCCCCCAAAAAAAGAAACTTATGCTAATTTGTTGTTACAGTATGTAACAGAGATTTCATGATACATTAAATATCTAAGGGATGATTTTACCACTGCCACCCTTCACTGTGTTTCCGTAGCTGAGCAGGTAATCAGACCTAGTTTTTCTGAGTCCTAATTCATCACTCTATCCACTACACTACAGTGGCTCCTATCAGTTTCCTAGTTCATATTATTCCATGTTTAATTTGCCAGCTTTGTTTCATAGGGCTTCTACTGTTTCTTCAAATGAGCTGAGGTAAAATGGCTGAGAAAGCATGAAGTACTAGGAAGACATTGCGGGACTTTCATAAGGCTGATAAATTTCAGTTTTAATATCTCATAACTAGAGACTTGCAAATCAGTGGTGTGTCGAACAATATGGTGTTTCAAAAACTGGCACCTGTTTATGCTGGTTAATGAGAGGCATTTCCATGTCCTGGCTAGGAGATGCCATTAGCTGTCGACGTTGTGGAGTAGTAGCGGATGCCTTCTGTTTGTTTCTGCACATGCACACCAGGAAAAAAAGGCAAGCAATAACCAAGGGGATGGCTATGCTGGGAACCAGAATGTAGAGGATACCCATTTTACTGCTGTCACGTGGACCTGTTAAGAGCAAAAACAGTTCATGTTTTCAGACAGAATTTTCAACATTCAAAAGGAATGCAAACAAAATAAAGCACTGAAAGTCTAAACTTTAGGATGGAAGCACAAGAAAATATAATGACAAAAGAAAGAATACATTAATCACCAATTGATTTAATAGTCTCAAAAGCAGTATATACAGTCCCAAAAAGTTGGTATTCTAATAAAATGATATGTACAGATCCAACAAGTTTCGACTCTTGGTATTCAAGTAACCATGCACATATGAACCACTTCTCACAGCACAAATCTAGACAAGCCCACTAAAAATAAGCCCCACTGAGTTTAATTAAAATGGCCCTTTGTAAATTACCTGCAGTTATCAATAATAAATTACACAAAGCATACACAGGCACCAATAATATTTAGAGTTCAAAGAGATAATGCTGCTCAAGAAACGCTCTCCTGGAAAAGGAAATATCTTATACTCCTTTTTGTGCAAGAGCCAATTGACAACATTCATTCATTCATTCATTCATTCATTCATTCATTCATTCATTTATATCCCGCCTATCTGGTCATTGCAGCCACTCTAGGCAGCTTATTTATTCTATATAAATAAATATGAAACTAGGTCAGATGTGGAAATTGCATGGCTGACCACAATGATTCCTGGAAGAAATATTTGTTGGGGGGGAGGAAGCCCAGTTCACAGAACTCTTGTTTGATTCTCGGTTGCTTCAATAAATCATAACGATGGTGGTCATGATTATGATAATAAATGATGATGATGATGATGAGCCATCAAGTCAATTCTGACATAGTGAGCCTTTCCAGGATTTTCTAGGTAGAGAATACTCAAGAAGTGGTTTACCATTCTCTTCTTCTGGGGGACACCCTGGGACTCTGCAGCTTGCCCAAGGCCACATAGGCTGGCTCTACTTCCAGGAGGCCCAATAGGGAATCAAACTTCCAACCATACCTAATCCACTCAACTATCCAGCCAGCTCAATAATTCATAGTTCAAGCTATTTACAGTTGGTCTTTGTCAAATGTAACAATTAACCATTGTTAGCTTAAAAACAGAAGTAGATGCTTCTAATCTTCTTGTGACTACACTTGAGAGAGGAAGGGGCAGGACACTCACCTGACAGTCACCGAGGCTCAGTCCTGTAATCTCTAAACCATGGTTTTCATTGAGTCTGAACTGGCCCAGCACAGTCTACATAGACCAGAGACTGTCAAAGTAATGTGGGTCTTTCCACCAAAGATTAAAGTGCCTCTATAACCTCTTAGTCTGCCAAGTTCTATTTATTTTTTCAATTTAGATCCCACCACATGCTTCAAGACAGATTCAGGGTGTCTAGTAAAAATTTCAAAACATAAAATCTAACCAGTGCATACACTATATAGTGCTGTTGTGCTAGGAGGCAGAATGCCAAAGCATATTCATCCATACCATATATAAATAAACAGAGCAAAAGAGGAGACTGTGTTCTGTGACTTCAGGGCTATGGAGCCGTAAATCAAGCTTCTTCTCCTAGGAACCTTTAATGTTTGCCAGTCCTGTCTATTCTCAGACTCACATTTTAGTTTGGTATTTGTCCCTGGATTAAACCATGCCACTCAGATAAAACACTTCTCTTTGCTAGACAGAGGGCCAGTTGAAATGTTTCTGCCCACACATGAGCAGTGAGGTTACACTTGCAGAGGCTGAACAATTATGGCCTTGAATTAGGGAAGGCCATTAGAAAAGCCAGCTGCGCCCTATGGCAAACGTAGTCTCGGTTTCTGCAAACCAAAAGATAACACAACAGTCCCAGATCACCAGTCATAAATCTGGCTGACTTCAGTGTCAATGAACACAGAAGGAAATAAAGCATTATTAGTAGAAAATACAGTATTTTGGGGTTAATGTCTCTTATGAAAACATAACAAAGAGACCCTTAAAGAGTGATATACTTTACACTTATTTTTACTACAAACACTCTAGAAGCAGGGAAAAAAATTAATACATACTACAAGAAGGTACTTCACACAGTTCCATGCGTACGTTTTTGCTTTGAGTAAAACACCAGGGACCTTCCATCTGGTTTCCAGGATTGCGGCAGAATGCGTGTCCCCCTCCAAGCTCCGGAAATGCTGTACTTGTCAAGTCATGGGAATGAGGGTGTTGAGAGTCCCAGTACTGACAATTGTGGCCTGACTTTGTAACACTGACGGTGCCTCTATAATCAACTCCAGAGCCATTGTAACACTGGTGATCTGCAAGAAACGACTGCCATCAGGATACAGGAATAATAGGAAGCCGTTTTCCCTTTCCGCCTGGAAAAATACATCCCTGTGCCCAGGGAGAGCCAGTGTGATCTAGCAGTTAAAAGTGCTAGGCTAGAATTCCAGACACCTGGATTCAAATCCCCCCCTAGGCCCTGAGCCCGGGTACCTCACAGAATTATTATGAGGATAAAGCAGGAAGAAGGAGGTACATGTCTTGAGCTCCGCTTTGAGCTCACTGGAGAAAAGCCAGAACATAAATGTAACAAATGAACAAACAAATATATTTGTTTTACTGACCATACTGTAAAGTAAAAGCACTCTGTCAGAATTTTTCAGTCCAGCATTTTTCCAGTAAACTCATTTGCTTCAACATATTTTAAACCCTCTATTATTATTATTATTATTATTATTATTATTATTATTTTATT